AATCGTGTTTTCCAGTTCTTGCTGCGGACTCCTCGGGCGGCGAATCCGTCCGCGTGACCGTGACTGCGTCCATCGACCCCACAAACCAGATCGCACACCAAGCGTTGTCACGTAATGACTCTCACAGATGGAACAAGCGAACACGTGCGCAAGTGCCTTTTTCCACAAAGCTGATCACACTTGATCATACCGGAGCTAAATACAAGCTGTTTCTATCCACGAGGGTTCAACAGTTACAGCGAAACCAGCACTTTGAACACCGTGATGTTCCCGGAATCACTCGGAATCGACCGCGTGGACCGGGACCGCCTCCTTACGGGGCGCGGGTGACGAGTGGTTTGGTCTCGCCAACTGATCCATCAACCGGACTGTATGAATTATTCTTCCTTCGTTTTCGGTGTGTCCCACCACCAACGATGTGGCGAGGTCGTTGCTGTTTGGGCCAAGGTGACTGGGCTGAGAAGAGAGCGCACTAAGCTCATCCAAACTGGCACTGCAACTCATACAGACAGTGGTGTCATCGCTACCACAGGTGGTCGACGAACAATCCGACGACACATCCAAATCCTCAGCCAGGCTTGAAATACAGATCACCTGACTCTACATGCCTCTACAATGTTGCAAGTCTCCTGCAGGGAAACACACAAATATTGCAACATCTTCAGTGTCTTCCTCATTGCCCACCCGATCTCCAGCACGCATCTCCATCTACTACTATATAATCACAGATTTCAAGAACATAGCATAGAACAGTGAAGTCTTCTTCAGAAAAGTAAAGGTGTTCAGAAAAGTACAAGCAAAGACATTTCAAAGTCGAAATCTCTAAAAGTCCGGAAAACGACGATTTCATTGGGAGCTCTTTCAGAAAAGAATGTGTATAGTGGGGGGAACCAAAAGACGTTGGTCCATGCCAACGGTGTTCTCGCTTTGACTACCACTCTCCGACCTATGTTACTTCCCAGAGTGTACATTCCTTCCAGGTTATATAGTTACAAACCCAGCTGCAATGGAAAATGATCCTGTCCTGTGAGAAAACACGCCAATCCAAGTGCAAGCCAAAGGCGGTGTCTCGCCCTTTCCATTGCATCATCTTCACCTCTGTCATAACACTGAGCTCCAGTTCCAGCTGTTGCTCCTTGGACAAAACGGACATCCAAATGGCGTGGCAATGGAACCCCAGAGTACCCTTTCAACAAAGTATTATCGTATAAACTAAATATCATATATTACCATATTATTATGTATAGCTTAGCAGGTAAACAAAAAGGCATATGATTAAAAACCATGCCTCTAGTGGACTCGTGGGTCCCTATATTCAATAGTCTCCATACAGGTGAACATGGAAGGAATCATGCCATGAATTTGGATCAACATGTCAATGTCAATACGTAAACCCTCTTGGTGGGCTTCCATCAAGTGGAATTCATAGCCAACAATTTTTGGATTGTGGCAGTTGTTGATGAACACACTGGTAACAGTATGTGTGTACATATTGTTTGAACATAAAGCAGAACATGCTGTTTCTTTGGCAAGTGAGGGTCCATTTCACTTGGCTGTCTCTGTGGCATTTGCTAGGGTTCATCTCTGAATCAGTACAAAGTTTCACCGTTGTGTCATTCAGGATCACTTTAAATGACACACCGTACGTTTTGGACACGGAGGCCACCATGAGGCCGCACACAGTGCACGAAAGCAAGGCCACACATGGAACACGGTGCGGATCAGGCTCAGCACGGTGCCAACACATGTTGCTTTTCCTCCCGAGATCGTGTGCGTGTGGGTCGAGTCTGTTCCCCACCCGATGGTTTCAGATCGTCTGGGGCGATTTCTCGCTGGCGTTCGCCCACGGGGCAGCGCAAGAAACCACGGTGCAGCCTCAATGTTGGTGAAAAACATGTGAGTTCTATCGAGCTAGACATAATTGTTAAACATCTTTTAACCAACAACTATAGTTGGCCTGAAGTATCTGCGTACGTAGCTCCTATGTTAAGAGCCTCTGAACGTCACACAAAAAGGAAAAAACACAATCATGCCACCTGTCTTGGTGACTCTAAGCATTTCGAAGTCCCTAAAGTTCTCTAAACTCTCTGCATCCTGTTCAAGAAGTCTTATACTTGATCTTATGTTATTCAAGATTGATTGATGGACCAAACATGAACTAGTTACTGTAAGGAGAGCATTTTGCGGGCAGAACAATATGCCGTCTTCAGCCCATCCGGGCTCAAGCCTTCCTACCGAGGCTCAGCGTCCGTCTCGGGCCATGCATCCTCCTGTCTGGCCGAAGAGATGCAGCAAAATGCGGAACAAACACCGGAAAATAGATGTTATGGGGGTTCCTGTTGTGCAAGCACCAGAATCTATGTGTTTTTTTCCTCACCCACAGTAGGTTTTGATAGGTTTTGCATGCTGCTTTCTCCCCATGCATGGGGCTACCCTGCTCCCTCTGACCTCTTGCACGAGGAGCACGTCCATCTCGAAAAGGTCCTCAATATATCAGCTGAGGTTCTGATGTTGCTGGGTAGTCATCTGACAAGTGAAGGGTAGCTATGCAAGTGATCTGGCTAGTCTCTGAAGAGCTGCAAGTCAAGATGACCACAGAGCAACCAAATGACTACCCGTGGAAGGTCCCAACAAATCTTTCCCGTGGAAGGTCCCAACGCCAAAGCTAAGCAGCTTTCAAATTGACTTCGTGCTACCCCAAAGCCTAGCCTTCATAGACCATGAAAGGAATGGTTGACCTGAGGCTTTGTAATCTAAACTTAATAATATTAAAACACTGGTTCTTTGAGACTCAGACCCCGAGCCAACCGGTGAGCCAACCGGAATGGAAAACAGGGCGAAATCTCGCGCCTTTCTCTGCGGTTCAACGACGAAGCGAAGCGGTTCGCGAAGCGGTTCGCGCGCCCCAAGCAGAACTCAGATGCCCCAAACATACAATGGATGGTTGAAATGGACTAGTATGGTATGGATGGAATAGTAACATACACGAGTAACTGGTGTATGGAATAGTTACATTCATACAATGCACATCACTGATGGATGGTCTGGGATGCTTTAGCAAATGTCCCACTTAGACACCGCGAGAATGTGCCGAACTCTGACAGTAAGGTCCTTACTCAAGACTCTTAAAACGTTTGAAATGATTCAACATTGATCCAAAACACCGTCATCAATCTAGAATAAGATAGGCGCCAGGCGCCAGGAAAAACAATCGTCTGCTTCAACTCCCGTTCAGCCAGGGCACCAAACGATGTTCCTTTCTGGACTGCAACCGGTCAAAGTGATCATAGAAGCGCCGAACACGGTTCACACTGCGCTTGACCGCGGAGCGGCCCACACCACGTCCGTGGCCGCCGTCGATGGCCTCCCGACGGTCCAAACGTGTCTGCAAGCGCTTCCAATGGCCACGCTTCATGGACCAACCACGGAGAGGAATGGCGATGTCGTCCTGCCAGGCGACCAGTGAAACAACCCAAACACTCCATGGAACAGTTACAAACCCTAGGCCTCCAAGTACCTTCTGAGAAGGTGTTTGGGGTGGGTTTGGAGGATCCAAATACCTTCTGAGGAGGTACTTGTGTAGGGAAACATCCCTCCCCCAGGTATGAGCCAAATGCAAGTAACTATTCAACTATTCCATACATGGATGGTGTGGGCATGACCATGACGAACGAGGAGACGACTGAGTCACATGCGGATCTGTGGCGCTTGCGTCTATCATGACCGGGCGTCTATCATCTCTCGTGGTCCGGGCAATGAGAAATGGTCAGGATCGGTGTGCGGACGATATCAACATCGATCTGACCCCGGCAGGATCGCAACTCGCAACGTTTGGATGATCGATATGGTGTGCCTGGAATTGGGTCGCAACTCGCGACGCTCCCATCCTTCCCTCAACCTGGTTCCTCGGCTCCATCAAAGGTGCATATATGTCGGGTTTTCGCGGCTTGAACACCAAACCATCCGACTGGGTGAAAAGGGCAATGTTATCTCTCATCTGGACCGTCTATACTCGATTTTAACAGCTCGTCAACAATGAACCTCGCAGGGATGTTGAAAGCATGGCGGAACATGGCCAAAGTAAGTACCTGTCTAGTATATCTGTCTATTGGCAAATGATGGCAAATTCAGAAGGTCTTTTTGGCCTCGGCTTCAGGCTGACGACGGAAGTGTGGCATGATAAACGTCGTCAATGGGAAATGGCTCCTACTAGTAAGCCCAGTGGGTCAACGCACCAGTTTAACCAGTTCTTTAGTAACGCACCGGTTTAACCGGTGCTTTAGCAAAACGGGAGCTGGAAGCTTGAAAAGGCCGTGAAAAACCCGTGAAAAGGACGTGAAAAACCCGTGAAAACAGGGTGAAAGGCCGTTAAATATACCTGTGAAAATTGTATCTTGAAAGTTGGGAGGTGAAATGCGTCCTTTACGCTAACGCACCAGTTTAACCCGCCCTTTGGACTTGCTGGGAAGGGTATAGAAGGCACCCACAACCCCATGCGACCACCTCACTTGGCCGCAAGGTAGAACCAAAGGCCGCGGTCCTCAGAAATGTCGTAAGGATCCTCCATGGGGCGAGCTGTGAGATGTGCTGAAGATTGGCACTGATCGCGTCTTGAGGATCTGAAACATTCCGAATGAAAACTCGACTCGACTGCGCAAACATGTTCAGAGAATCGAGCGGGAACCAAGCAAACCCTGCGGTTTCAAATAGAGCTGCGTCAAGTCCGAGCGATTGAATCGAACCAAAACCAAGGTGAAGATCAGGTGAAGATCTCTTGAACACACCATACACCGCTCAAACACTGACATCGACCCACCAACCGACCGGTGAATTTTTTCGCGATGTCCTTCAATAAAAGTCGTCACGTTCGTCACGTCATCCTTCGTGCGAAGATCTGGACAAAAGTAACACACTGCACCACCCACTCTGCACAAATCTTTCCCTAAACAGCATCATGGCGCACACACCGTCTCGAACCTCTGTGTTCACAGCCCAGCCGCCTCCCGGAAATGCCTCGCTTCTTCGCGGCCGAACTCCATCTGCTCTCGCCTCCGGACGATGCTCGCGGTCCATCTGCGCGGCTGGAGTTTCTTGGGACCAAAAGCAGATTCTCCTCAGAGCCTTTTGTCTCAGAGTCTGTTTCATTGGGACCAAAACAGAGTCTTGGAGTTTCTTGCACGAGTCAGTGTTTCGATTTGTTGTGCCAGACCATGTTTCAGCGCAAAAGTCTTTCGCTCGCTTCCTCCTCCAAGGGAGCAGAACTGCCGTCAGCAGCAATCTTCTTATTCATGGCTTCCGTGGCCACTGCCCTGAAACACCAACCCTCTTGAAATGAATGTGTACAATAGTGGGAAATAGACCAGCAAAATGAGTATACAGCACCTTTCCCTTCGGTGCTAGTAAAACTATACCATAGATCCGTCCTGGGGTAAATACAAAGAACAAACAAACACGAACATCGCTCCCTACAGTTATATTATGATTCCTTGACGCGCCTTCCGCTACTCCTGGATTGCTCCAAAGTCGGACGTCCCATCAATGCTACGAGCGGCTCATCCACACTGCCAGCCGTGTTTTCGGCACCCTGGTAAAGACGGTGAGGGAGTTGGCCCAGCGCAATTACTGAGCATGGTTCATGCGATTAACAGTCTATAGGCAAAATGCAACCCTAGGATTTCAAGAACTATGGATTACGATCTACATCTTCCGAACAATCCTTCTTCTAAAGAGGAGTTAGCACTGCGAAAGGACCAAAGTCAACAGCACGGATTGGTCAATTAGTACCAGGACCCACTTGTGGTGCTGTTTCATGGACAGGTCTCTTGCTGAGGTTCATGAACCCCACCAGAATTTGCAAGGTTCCAATTAGAGAGCGGTTAAAACTTCAATTACACTCCCTAGAACTCACGTCGGTTACGTGGGTTACGGTATGGCCTTGAAAGGATGAACATGGATGACCATGATGGTCCACGCTCATGAGTACTTCCAGGGAGTGTATTGACTTATAGAAGTGGGGCTTCAACTGGCTCTGCTTTGAGGCCGCTCTATGAAGGAGCCTCCGAGTTCAAGTCGATGGCTGATCACTATCGGGTCTCCTCTCATGACAAGACTTTTGTATCATATGTATAGTCCTGTATATATATAACTTATAGATACAACTTACATGTCCTCAGCTGAAACTCCTAAATATCCTTTTGATGGACTATTCCCTGCCTCGTCTGTTCTATAATGAATATGAGATGCTCCGAATTTCACGACTTCTGCTTCTCAACTCAGGAACCATGAAACGAAACCAATCCCTTTCAACAAGCTCGTCAGCTGCAACCCATCCGCAGCCGGGGTGTGTCTCTCTGTCGATCTGGCCTGCCGCATATAGCCACGGAACTCGGGGGATCGCTGGTAGTCCACCGCCTCCTAGGCTTCAACAAAGCATCCAGCTGATCACGATGAATAAAGAGTAATTTAAAACCCATGTAACCTAATACCTGATTGATTCACTCAGCAAGCAGGCACACCCCTGTTGTTTTAAAACGACCTTGGATGAACAACTCTTTTCAATGGTGAGCAGTGTGGTCGTGGTAGATGAGTCCAAAAGTGTTCTCATATTGGAATCTGTAGGCATCTGTAGCCCTCACATGGCTTCACGACCGCGGCTGGCCATCCTGGTACAGTCTTTGAACCTTGAGATCTTGCTCACTGCTCAGATGTGATGCCTCCGTTGATCGGTGGCGGTCTTCCAAAGCAAAGAGGGCTTTGGGGCCACAGGGTTCAGCGCCCGCGCCTTCGCCTGGGCAGGCTGGGCGAAGAATTGCTGGGCACTCTTCAGCAGCTCCTGAAGCCGAGCGAAGGCATTCGGGCTGGGCCTAGAGGGTTTGAAGCAAAGCGAGGTCGGACTTTTCACTTGGTGAGGAATTGGTGAGGAATGGGCGCAGAATTGTCTTGGCCTCCAAAAATGTAGGAATTGGTGAGGATGGCGGTTTCTTTTCCAATGCTGAAGATGAAAAGACACGGAGGTCGATCCATTGTGAGCCAGCAACACCGAGCTGGACCCGGAGTCGTGATCTTGGTTCGCCGGACCTTCCACCCTGTTCATGTCTGTCTCAAGGCGAACAAATCGACCAACTATTGTATCATAGTTTGGCGGAACCGGTTCAGGGGGTGCTTTCTTGAAAAGGCAGTAATTAGCTATGTCTACGCCTGCTTCTGCTAGATTGGACACATGATTTCTAGTGGTTAAACTGTACGTAATGGACATCTATGTTTTGGTGGTTGACACATTCTGACCGCTTTTCACCGCAGTTTTGGAAGCAGGGTGAACAGTGGGAATTCATGGTGAACATGCGCATATCAGGTGATGTCGAGTGCTCATGAACTACCAGCTGTATTCGGGATTCACATCTCTTCTGAGAAGGTTTGTGCAAACTAAAGCCACCCATAACAACCCCAAGCACCTGAGGACGACGTTTGGGAGAATGCGGATGCCTGATCAGGCAAGTTTTGGTTCATAAATCTGAGAAATTCTGAGAACCTCTCCTCATGCAAGGAGCACAGCGTTGGAGGCAAACCCGTGAGCAAAAAGCAACCAGCACCTCCGCTGCGGGCGAGTATGAGTTTGTGGAATGAGTGTTTGCTTTGAGGGGGTCTGTCCAATGAAATCGCGGTTCTATGTGTTCAGTGGATGCCCACATTGGCTGGATGGCCCCCAATTGATTTCCACCATCGTCACCAATGAACCACTTGATGTATAATTTAGGCAAAGTAACCTGTATCTGTATCTTCTACGATGTGTGTGCTGTGGTGAGGATTCCATGGGTATTGAGGAGACAAGAATCAACTGCCGATATCCTCCAAAAGAAAAGCAGGGTAGCACATTAACGGCGCCCTCAAGTTTCCTCTTTCATGGCCTTGCATGTCTAACCATCAAATCAAACACAATGGAGGCACAGGAGACATTGGGCTTGGGTTTGTCTTTATGATATGTCGTGTTTGTCAATCCTTTTGATGTGCACCATATTGAGGTTTCAGTGTACCCAAGGTCATCGGTCATCGGCTGGTTGATTTCAGCGTCCCACCCTCCACGCCTCCATCACCCACGCGGCAAGCATTCCCTGGAGGCCGGGGAGGCTGCGTTACCACACATGGACTGTGACGATGTTGCCCCTATATAGGAACCTCCCACACCAACTGAGCTACGACCAAAACCCAAATTGTATGGTGACGGAGGGGGTGGGAACTTTGGTGTGCAAACTGAGCTCCTGGCTCGAGGGATGCTTGACCCAAAAACTCGAGTCCAGGCTCGGAGTCGACTGTGGACTCCTATAGAGGTCGGATCTCTTCAAAGGACAAAACACCTCAAGGACTCCCGATACAACATGTCCGCCCCCCACACATGCTTTGTAACATCTGCGTACAAGCCTGTTTGCACCCGCTGAGTTTTTTCTCAAGCCTAGCCATTTCGCAGGTGAAGGGGCCGAGCCTAATTGCCCGGCAAAGCTCTCCAGGTCAGAGTAGAGTTGCCGGTGCAACAGCATGGGCCTTGGCATGAGCAGCTTGGCATGTGCTTTTCTCTGATTGTACTGAGTAGCAACCAATTCATTTGTTTGGGTGTAGCCAACTCTCTTGTTGGGGTGTTGCCGCAGCATGCTTGGCAAAATGTGTATGGAGTCAGTATTTGAGAGCAGGAAACAACGTCCAAACTTGAGGGTGTACCATGGTCTAGCATGCCAGCATCCTTCAGAAGGCGCTGATTTCCTCGCAAAGGGGCACGGTGATTTCCTGGTCTTGGCTGGTCACAGGTCCCATGGTTTTCTCGAGCCGCGCCTGGAAGGAATGCAGTTTGTTCCAAGGTGCCAAGTTCCTTTGTCAGCCAGCCTTGCAAGGCTCGGTGGTCACACCATCCCCCTTGCCAAAACCCCTTCCATCCAATCTGCCATCCACCTGGACACCTGGCCGACTGGTCGGCTCCGAGTGTCCAACACGGCCTTGGTCCAGGTGTCCTACGGCCTGGATCGGCATGGTATATAACAATTCCACCGCATTGCCCAACTGGAAGTAAAAGGATTCCAGGCCAAAAAACTATTGATCTTCCGATCAGGTGAAGCGGGGAGCTTCCTTGGACCCTCTTTGGCCTTCGCAACCTTCGGAGATGCTTCATCAGGGATGTTGGCGAAAACCAAGTGAGTTCCCACATGATCAACCCGTTCGCCGATTTCACCATGCGCCTTGCTTGAAAACCAGAGGCCCCCGCAAGGCACCAGTGCTATGGCACCTAGGTCTTCCAAGGTCTCCGATGCTGAGACCATATATCAAGATTTTTGGAATGAGACTCCGCAACCAAAACAGACTCCAAGAAAAACGGGTTTGATGTTCTGTGAGCATCACTTTGCCGATGGCTTACAGGAGAACGACAGGTTTCATCGGCTCGCCCTTGAAGTTCCACCGCAGCTAAGCAAGCAATTGTTACCGGCTCACAAACAACAGCAGCAATGACCAAAACTGCCTGGTCTGTTGCTGCATACATCCGGGTGTCCAGCAAGACAAACTCAAAAAAGGGCATGAGCAAACCTTAGTTAGCCTTCGGCCTTTGATCTCCAGCCTTGATCTCCAGAGCCAAGCTTGAAAGCTGTATACAGTGTGGTTTGCATCCCAAGGCCCCAGGACAGCCCAGCATAGCCCCAAACAGCCCTACATAGCCAAATTGCTGCACCATTCTCCCAGCTTCAATTAGAGAGTCTTACGATTGTGACTGATCAAACCACCCAGAGCCAAACCACCAAAGGCCAAGGGACCTTCTCCATACAAAGCGACCTCCTGGCATGCTGACGTGGAAGAAGCTCTGACGCGACACATCGTGAAACCATCAGGGCCACTACGAAGAACACGGCCACTCGGCCACTCTCATGACTGATTGAACAACATGTTTTGAACAAAAATATATAACGCAAATAAACAAAGCACATAGGACTGCACCTGATGTCACATCAAAATACACTACTAGTACAATCCTATAGACGTCTATCGAATCACATCAGTTGCAAGCACCTCATGTGGTCCAGTCAACTGCGCAGAGTTTTGTCATTCTGTCCCCTGTTTTTTCGTGCCGGGCAAAGCATGGCCAAGCCGTCGATTTTGCGAAGTGGCAACCAGGGCCTTATGCAGCTGCATAGCCAAAGAACAACACCATTTATACTTCAGCCAAACTGGCTTGTAGATAAGGTCCCAACTCAAGAAGTCAACAAATTCACAAGCGCTTGTCAGAATCATCTGTCACACCGCTCCCCGACATGCTAGAGAGAGGATCATCCCAAAAAAGAAACAGCGGCAGTGCCGTTGGACAAGGTATCAAGGACGCCACCAGTACCTATAGAAGCTACACACGCAGGAGGCCATCGCAAGTAGGTTGGAGGCCATCGCTACGAACGGAGCAAGGACGCCACCAGCACACCTGGACTCAACCGATCGCCGTCCCCTCCCCTCCCCGAGAAACAGCGCGCAGGCCTCTGTGGAGACCCTGCAAAGCACTCGGGGGATCGAGGCGGAGACCCGAACTTGGAGGGGTTGAGTTCCAAGATATGCCTTTAAATATATATATATATATAGCAAGTGCATCACCTTCTAAGAAGTGCATCACTACATAGTAGCGAACCTTTTTACGTATTGGGCGTTTCTTCATGCCACATCGCAGAAGTGTGCATACATGTGCATTTATATATACCCTAGACTTCCAAGACCATTAAACAAATGGTTGACCTGGTGTTTGTAGTGTAAAATCCTTAGTTGATTCGGTAAAGCCTATTAAATTTATTATTGGTGGTTGGACACATAGGGTATAGGTGTCCAATCAGTATGCAAAATGTATGATCGAACATCTTGGCCCCCCCAAAAAACACTCATTTGATCAGTGTGCCACTGGCTTGATTGCAATTCCCTTGCCCAACGACATTCCTCGACATCTCGGGCGGACCCAGATTCCATTGGGCCTCGATCCGCGCGACTCGGAACATGGCGTTTCGAGGGGGGCGGTCAGCAAGCGCCGCGACGGGGTCAGAGTCAGCGACGTGGAGTTTGGACCAAAGAAGACCAGTCAATTCTCGTTGTGTTTTGTTCTTGTCTTGAGAAAAAGAGGGTTCCAACTTCTGTTCTGTTGACTCTCTGGGGTTTTAAATCTGGGTGTGTTTCACATTTTGTTCAGTACCCATGCAGTACTTCGTACTCAGAAGCTCTTAGAATGGGTAGTGAAATTAGATGCATGGGTACTTTGAATACTTCTTTGATTCTTAGCTTGATTGGTTTTGACTCTCGTATTCTTTATAGAAGCTCTTTTGACACTCCTCTCTGTCATGCTTTTGCTTTTTGTTTGTTGTTCTTTTTTCGCATCTCCCACAATCAAAAGGATCCGTTTCAGAAATGGCGGCCCTCTTTCAGAGGTCTCAGGTTCAAGATGACGCTGAGTTCAACTTGGGACAGCTGATGTCGTAGTCAGAGCAGCCAACTTCCCTGGAGGGAAGTGGCGATGAGCCAAGAAACGGCTCTAATGGAATGGTGGATCTCTCAATAGCTCTGGTGTCATTCCCTACTTCACCACTTCATCAGGTGCCCTGGGGCTGCCGCAGTGGAATCCACCAATCAAGCTCAACAAAACTGGGTTCCCTTGTTTGATCACATGGTATCTGGGCATGGCTCGTGATAGTCGTTTGAAGAGCAAATGCCACCTTATTGTAGCACATCGGGGGCACACAACCAAAACGTTTGGAAAGCTACAGAAAGTGGGCAAAGAAAAGTAGATCAGTGATCACACCCCTGAAAGCCTGAACGCCCTGACCCCTTGAAAGCCTGAACGCGGACTTCCGGATAGCTCCTCTACACACCAGCTAAAGTGGTCATTTGTGTTGGGGGGTGAAAGCCTGCCATCCTCCAGTTAAGCTCTAGATTCTTTCACTAGATTCGATTGGCGGAACCACTCACTCCCGCCCGGACACCGCGGAAGGACCGTGCGGTCTGTCCGGCGTCTTTTCCGGCGCGTGTTCCGCGAAGCGTCAGAGGCGCATTGCGTCCAGGACTGCAGGTGGGTCACCGATCGATGTGTCACCGATCTCGTGCAAAGACGGATGACATTGGGGTCATAAATGGAGTAGATGTGTGTAGATAAACTATTCCAGTCCCGTGGAGTATCTGCGAACAGTGACTTGCAGCATGCTATTAAGCAACCTCAAGTTGCCCCTTTGCCAACTATAGGTACTAGGTCTGCTGTGGAAAACACAATGTTGCCTGGCGTCAGAAGTTAGAAGCGTCATATCGCCGCGGAACAGTTTCTTCAGAATCGTGCGTCATAGCCCAACCCAACCTCCCTCAATCTTGTGAGGTACCCCATGAACATTGGCATCCATAGTAAAGAAATACTCTTCAAGGACATCTAGATAGTTTCCCTATCATCCGTCCCGGTCCTTGAAGATGACGGGCCACACAAATCAATCTACTGCAAAGTCTTTCTTTCTGTCTATCAGCACTATTTACCAGTCGGAAATAGCAGCAATCAGCAAACCCTGTCATGTAGAAATTTAATGCTATATCATCCGAGAAAACACCGTGATCATAATGTTTCCATATCACTACATCACCCACTGATGGTGATGGAACAAGAACATGGGAACCGGGAACTCCTGCCCAACAGGGGGTTGTGTCATGAGTCATGATGGTGTGTTCCTCCGACTCACTTGTGGAGCATCTTTTGGAGGGTTCGAGCAGCGAATGGAGTCCGAGTCCAAAACAAGGTTTGCATCATCTTACCCAAAAAAGCAAGTTTCGTATAGATATGGATAGATTAGGTGGACATGACCTTAAACCAATCGGTGGAGTTTGTATACCTCCATCCGACCCATCTGACAAACGTCCCCCATCCAGTCGACCTCGCAGTGAACCCGCCTGATCATCCCAGCCAACGGGTCCGCGCCTGCGAGCAGTTTCCCCAGCGGAAACGGTACCGGTCCGGACGGTGGTGTGAGGTGTCTTGACGTCTTCCATATGTCTTCCATACATCTTAGATCATCTTTGAGTTCGGGGGTCCCTTTTGGGGTCATCTCCTTGCGTTTCTCCTGCCCCCCGCCCCCGAGCCCCAAGCACCTGGTGCCCAGGGGTCGCTCTTTTTGTGGCGGACACACTGGGGGTCGGCAGATCACGTCAAGCTCTTCACTTCGACAAAAGCTCCCCCGCTAAAAAGAAAACACACAACAACATGTAAATGTATTGTAGAGTGGATGTGTCTTGAAATAGACCCTGCACCACGCCAGGCCTATTCATGTTTAATGCTTTGAAATGTTGCTGGACCCTGTCGACACTGAATGGTTAAAGAAACCACCTAAGCCTAAGCGTACCTGGATCAAATGCGAACAGAACAAATCTGCTTGAATATCTTCATACACCGCTGAACATGGGGCCCATCCGTGATGAAAACCGATCAACCTCTCAGATCTGCTTCTTACTGACCCCACCAATTGCCGATTGCTTCAACGGCGCGCGGGGCAACGCACCTGGCTGTGGTGGCTCTTCACACAATGTGTCAAACGGTTGGCCCTCGCAAAGCAGTGCGTGAGCCTGGCAGGCCCGATAAGATCGGCCACACTCCAGGGGCGTCCTGGGGGGTCATCCTGGTGTACGAAGCACCAAGTGCATTCCTGGTGTGAACGAATTCAGTCAGGATTCAGTGTCCAACCTCTGGAAGTTGGATGGCTTTCCCAAGACAAGGACACCAAAGGGCCATGTTTGGGCATTTGAAAGGGAGATAGGTGCCCCCGTTTTCCGTACCTGTGACAGGTGACACTTTCTGATGAATGAACCTGCACCATGGCCTGGTAAAACAGGGATGAGTCCTCCAAAGCCTCTCTTTCCTTTGATCCTTCCCTCAATGAACTGGTATTTCTGACCAGATTCCAGCCGCATGTTTTTAAGCCACGTGCCATTGGGTTCCGACTGCGAGGAAGGAACACCCCCAGACCGGGAGAGGGTCTGTCGACAGGTATAGCCATCTGGTGAACCCCAGATCGAATTGTACCCAAGAAGTACCAGAAGCTTGTGACCCTGTGACCTTGCCTACACATGCCTACACTTCTTGACATCATCATGGTTACGTGGCGTTCACCAATTCGTCATCCTTTCGAGGCCGTAAAATACATCCGCGGCCAGGCCCGTTGGCCGGAGCTTCAAGGAGTGGGACTTGTTTTGCCAAGTCTTCAGCTTGGGATTTGCGGCGGCCAATCTGTGAGTGATCATGGTTTCGGCATATCTAATGTCCACCTCTGATTAATCAGTAGGGGGGCCCCCCCCCTCCCCCCTGAAAGACCTTAAATAGATATAAAGACTGTGTTCAACTGTTTAGTATTGGTAGATATTTTTCCTTTAGTATAAGAATCTATAAAGGAAAGGAATAGAAGAAAGGAATCCATTGAGGACCCATTGATTCAGCAGGAATCCTCACCAGGATCAGCCAGCAGGAATCCTCACCAGGATCAGGGGTCCTTAGCTGTATTTAGGGTCAATCTTTATTTTGTACTTGGGC